GTTTTTCCAAATATTTCCCTGGGCATGTTGGAAATCATCTCCTATATCCTGGGCTCCTGGGACTCTGGCAGCATAGTTCCCTCCTTGGGCACCGAGGCCCCTGGATTAAAGGTTACCAGGTGTAGCTCAGGCAGGCCTAAATCCTCCTTGAGCAGCACAGGTCCCTGCTCTGGCAGCAAAGCTCCCAGGACCAAAAGATGGCCACCAGGTGCAGCCCAGGCAGGCCCAAATCCTGCCGAGCCCTGTCTAGTGTGGCCACAAGCTGGGCGGTTCCCCAACCACCGGAAGCAAGGATCTCAAACTCTCCCTGGGCTCAGATGGTGTGCAGGATCCATCTCCTCGGGTGGCAAAGCTCCCTGGGATGAAAGAAGGTCACCCGTGAGGACTAAGCAGGCCTCAAACCTCCTCCACAGTGCAGCTTCTTCCTCCAGAAGTGGTGGCAGCAGCAACAGTGAAGCTCCCTGGACTGAGGGAAGGTCTCCAGTGTGGCCTAGGTAGACCTCCGCAGTGCACCCCCTCTTCTGGGTGGCAGCGGTGGTGGCGTTCTCCAGACTCAATAAAATTATATTTCAAGGGGTACGCAAAGTGCAGGGAGTGAGGCAAGAGGCATACAGGATACTCTGAAAAACAGAAATAAGACATATTCTTTCCCTTTCTCTCCCATATCCATGTTCTCAGCATCAGAGTTGGTCATGTCTTGTCAGGATAATTCCTTATCTGTGATGGAGACATTGACAGTTTGTCCTGTATTATGAGCAAGAATAGTGCATGCCACTTGATCCAGTGTTCAGGATGGTGAATCCAAGTCTTTTAGCTTGGATCCTTTACTGGCTCAGCAACTATTTTTACTTAATACACTGATCCATACAATGGCAAAGTGCCAAGGTCACCTTAGGGAAAACACCAAACTTGAGTTCTCACACTGATGATCATTATTGATGAGGTCCTTGTAGGCAAAACTCATGATCTGTACTGAGGGGTAAATGGAGCAGGTTAGTGTCTCCCAACCCTTCTTTTTAATAGGAATCCTGATGTGCTATTGATTTGAGTCTTTAGAAATTGATCAAAGGGTACAGAAAGTCCTTAAAGGACTTCCTGTGGAGACTGACATGTAATAATTACAAAAGAGGAGTATACAACTGAAAGAAAGGAGTGGGCAACTTGGTCAAACATGTACAAAGGAATACTACCTTTTAGGGAGGTTGCTGTGAGACTGTAGAAGAGTCACCTGACATGTGTGCTACAGGATAGGGTTATCTTGATTCTACACATCAGCTATTTAAAACTGATCTATGACTGTCCATGAAAATGCTCCACCAGCCCTTCAGGTTGGGGGTCATCCAGAGCAAGGGGACATAACAGGCCCCTTGACTGGGGACACTGCTATGTGGCTTAGGTTGCAAGCCATTATTAAATGCAATGTTCTTAGTGAATCTAAACTGGAAACAATGTGGCCGAGGGATGTTTAGGCCAAACTTGGAGAAAGTGCCAGCTGCAGCCAGGATCCAGTTGAATAGTCTCAATGTACTGAAACACCCAATGTAATCTACTTGTTGGTTGGTGGACGGATTTGTCCTTTGAAGCAATTTTAATCTTGTTCAGAAGTTATCAGGCAGAACTGCTTCACTTCACTATGGAGGATTCCTTATGGGGGTACTCCAGGAAGCAATCGGCAGGTTGAATGCAAACTGCCAAAATCCAAACTGACATTTTTTCATAAATAGAAAAGCTATTTATGAAGCTATTTATGAAGAAAAGCCATAAACTATGTGGAAGTCTCTGAAATAATGAATAAAGATAGATGACTTATATCTTTCAGTTTTACATCTTACAAAGTAATTAAAATAAGTTATTGGCTTAACGATAAAAACAGAGAGTGATGGAATAAATTGAGATTTTGAAAAACAAAGTCCGTACATTTATGATCAATTAATTTTTGCCAAAGGTACCAAGTTTATTAGATGGGGACAAATAACATCTTCAACAAATGGTATGCAGTAACTGTATATCTATCTGGAGAAGAAAAAATTTGAACGTCTATCTCTTAGCACATACAGAAGTCAACTCAAAATATAACAAACACCTAGAGAACTAAATAAGAGCTAAAACTAAATAAGTTAGATGAAAAGCTTTCATGACCTTGGATTTAGAAGTTAGTTTTTAGATATGGTACTGGAGGCACAAGTGGTAAATTAAAAAAATAGTTAAATTGGCTTCCTGTTGTGTATTAAAGGATGCTATTAAGTATGGCAAAGGAAAATCCACAGAATGGAGAAAATATTTTGCAAGTCCTATATCTGTGAAGGACATACTTTCCAGAATATTTTCCAACTCTGTAACAAAATTTCCAACTCTGTAGCCAAAAGATGATTCTATCAAAAAAAATATAATAACTCCACCTCTTAAATATTCCTGTTTTCATTTGCCCCAGGTTTTAATGTTCTGATTCTGTGCCCGTATGTGTATATATTTGTGAATACTGTTCCTCTGTTTTGTCAATTTATTGTGTCAATTTCTTGTCAATTTATCTAATCATATGCTTCCATTTATTGGCAACTAGAACATCCAAAGGCTACGTACCTGTGTACTGTGAAGTACTCTATTCTTTCTTTGTCTCATTTGCTGAAACAAATCCAGGTGTTGGTTTGGAAAAAAAATGGAAAAAGTTTTGCATTGACATTTCTCCAAAGATTTATGAAAGACTAATAACCATATGAAGAGATGCTTAGTATCATTAGTCATTAAGTGAGATGCAAATAAAAGCACAATGAGATCATCATCTTGCAGCCACTAAAATGGTTATAGTAATAATAGGAAAAACAATAGCAGGTATTGTTGGCAAGGATGTGGAGAAGTAGGGGCCCTGGTACATGGTTGGTGGAAATGTAAAAGGCACAGCCCCTGTGGAAAAGTCTGGCAGCTGCACTACTATCCGTTGCGTGTAAGCGTTACACACTGAAGTATTGAACTTAGCATAAATCCTCCTGTACAAAGCTCCAACCCTGGGTGCTCAGTGGAGGCCTGCTGTTTAGTGCTATGTTGGTATCCGGTGAAGCTGAAGGACTTCTGCTACAAGCTTGCACATTTCCTTTGGCACTCTGTCCCTGGGACTAAGGACCCCTCACTCAATGAATCCACTTAAGGGCCATTTCCTTCTCTGGCTACTACCAGGACTGTGTCCTCCGACTGCTGGCTACTCACTCCATCCCAAGTACCATCCTTGTGGAACCCTATGTGATACCTTGGGTCACCTGTGGGTTCTCCCTTACTCACTGTGGGGATGTGTGCCAATGCACTGCTATCCATTTTATCTGGTCAGTGTCAGATGTCAAATGTTTGGCTATCATAGAATGAGAGTTTCTCCCTTGTCAATGGGGTGAATGGGAGGTATTTGAAACACAGATACATAGTCCAAAGAATTCAAAACAGATATCAAAGGAATGGTGTACAGAAAACTTCATAGCAGCACTACTCACAAAAATGCAAACAACCCAAATACATGCCAGATAAGTGTAAAAACAAAATGTGATATAATCCATACCATGAAATATTATTGTCATTAAAGGAACAAAATGCTGATACATGATATGATGTAAATGAACCTCAAAAATGGATAAATAAAAAATCCATACAAAAAGGTCTAAAGACTGTACAATTAAATTTTATGAAATATTCAGATAATTATATCCACAGGAGCATAAAGGTTATTGGCTGGTAGGGATTGGAAGAAAGGAGGAAGGGGGAGTTGCTTAATTTGTAAAGGTTCTACTTTAGGGCAGTGATGAAAATATTTTGAAACTATAGAGGTGATGGTTACATGTGTATAAATGTACTAAATGCCACTTGACTAAGTACTTTATTTTTTTATTTGGTACTGGGGATTGAATTCACAACCTTGTGCTTCTAGATTAAGTACTTTAAAACAGTTAATTTCTTACAAATTTAACCTCTATAAAAACTTCTCATGGTTACTTGAACAGAGGAGGAAAGGAATTAGAAATTTCAGCATTATTTTATGTACTCCTATGTCATTAACTACTTAAAAATAATAATATGTTCACCTCCTGAGTAATTAAGAAAACAGAAGGGTATCATCAGATAAAATCCACTGATTAATCATTGTAAACTTAACCCTGTGAGGTCCTCAAGCCCAAGTATGTCAAGCAACAGACACTATACAATAGATCCCATTGATTTTAAAGAATATGAAATGTAATAAAAATGTTGGATAAAAAAGATTTCCCCTTGATGTTTCTGATGTTCTCAGATGGAACTTTTTGTGGTCCATAATCCCAGAGGCCTGTGTAGGCAAATTTGATAATATTCACCTGCAATCACACAGCCTTGAGAAGTAAGGCAATGTTGGTAATGTGCTGTGTGATTTCTTATGATAAATCACTGGGCTTTCCCTTTTGAGATGGGGTTTTTAGAAGTTGTTGATTACTTCTAAAACTGGAGCCAGATGGCATAGTCCTCCTTTTTTTTCTTACGGATTTTTATTTTTAGTTGAATCATACAAATATATCCACAGAGATTCTGTCTTCAGTTCTCTGGATAAATACAACCTCATCATCCTAGAACATAGGCCCATGGGTCAGAATCTCCAGGAGTTGGTAACAGGAAACATTCATGCGTCTTGGTCCAGACTTATTGGATCTAAATCACTGGCTAGGAGGTGGGGCAGAACCTCAGGGTGAAATGACCCGTATTTTCTCCAGCCAATTGGTAGATGATGCTCCCTCGTTGACCACTTGGGTCCCTGAAATCATCTTGCAAAGTCCTTCTCTGAACATTCCAGTGGTCATATGTCAGACATTAAATGAGTCACAATTTCAGACAGGTTCATAGACTTGGGGAAGATACGGTGGGCTGAGGTTCCCTTGTATCTCCTTTTTACATTTTCTTCCCTGATTTTCTGATTTGTAATTGTAACTTCAGCTGGGAAGAGGAAAAACTGCCAAGGCCTTAGGACCTTCTGGAATAAATCATAGCCCACAGCTGAGGAGGGAAGAGGTTTATAAATACCTGTAGCGGTCGCTTACTTGGATTTCTTGTTTCTAGTGATCCTGTGGGTGGGGGTTGAGAGCAGTGATGAAGGTTCTAGGCGTGTTAGGAGGGCTCGTCATGCTCTTTGGGTTGACTCATGTTCGTGCTAATGGTAAGAGAAAGGGGCTTCTAGAGGTGGTAATTATAAGCACTGGGGATGCTTTTCTAATACACTGCTGACTTTGGGGGTTTGTTGTTGAGTCCTGTGACCACCTGCTAACCTCAGATAACTGCCATGTTGCTGTGAGGTTTGGCTTCCCCTTCTGTTTTTTCAGAATTCCAACTGCCCTGCTTGGAAATCCTTTGAAAACCTGTTCATGAGATATGTTGGTACAGTTTGAATGATTTCTAAAAAGCCAGAGTTTCTAAAAAGCTCAGAGTTTCTCAGGAAACATCTCTGATTTTTCTACTCTGACAAAATGGAGCCAGGGAGAGTGAAGCAATTTAATCAAGATCTCTTTGGGAAACAGACAAACAGAAACAAAATGTCTTAATATGTTGTAGGTATAAGGAGAATTTATTTTGGAGCATTACTTTTTAGTTGAGGACTCATCAGTGAAGGGACTGGAAGGTGTTCAGGCTGTTTGGAGCACACATGTTGCTGATTGTTTTTTCTCTTTCTCTCTTGCTCTCTCTCTCTCTTTTTCTCTCCCCCTCCTTTCCTCCCTCCCTCCCTCTCTCCCTTCCTTCCCCCCCTCCCTTCCTTCCCCTCCCTTCCTTCTTTCCTTCCACAGTGAGGGTGATCTGCACAATGACTAGACTTATCGTTGAAATGCGTCGGTTGCCCCTGGTGGATGACTTGCCAGTCCAGCCCCACGAGCTGACCCTGGGTGATGACTGCCCCGTCTCCACCGTGCATTCTCAGTACTTAATATTCAATTATGTGGTATCTCTGTGTGGCATGAGGATTTACGTAAGAGCACTTACTATTTCAACAGATAATATATTCTTCATTTTAGGGCCATGAAACAATGACTAAAACTGAGTTACAATGTGATAACCCATGTGATGTTAAATCCTCCTTTTTCTTCCTCTTTGTTGTGAAATATAACTCCAGGAAAGCATGTATGAATAAGCAGATTTCCAATCATTCTAATGTTGTTGTCTACCTAAAATTTCAACCTACAGTGGACATTTTGGGGTATATTGCTCCTGTATTAATAAGAGAAATCAATTTTTTTAAGAGGTCAGAAAACTCTTATTTTCTTTAAGTGAATTTGTTTTTCCTGGTGATTGATTGGTGATTGATGGAAGCTTGGCTTTCTCCTTTGCAAGTGTATCTCTCCTACTCTGGGTGCAAATGGTTTGGGTGAATGGATTAGATTCATGGCTTCAGGCACATGCCCCACTGTTTTTTTTTTCTTTTCTTTTGTACTGAAAATTGAACTTAGGACCTTGCACTTACCAGGTGGACACTTATGCCACTGAACTATATCCCTGACCCTACCCACTGGTCCTTAATTGCTGTGTCTCTAGTAGCTAAAACGATGTCAAAAAGGGCGAGCACTGCACTTGGTACACAGTTGACTCAGCTTCCCCATGAAAAGCCTGATTAGTGAGACGTAGGGACTTGAATATTTGGTAAATACATGAAAAAACTATGCTAATTTTCACCTCATAAAGTCTTTCTAGGTCACGTGGCAACTACCTAGGGCTTTTCCTGGGATATCTAGGGAACAAGTTTAACACTTTTTAATTGAGACTATAAGTAATTTTAAGCAGATAGATACAGAGGTTTCCAGTTATCACCCAGGAAGGGAGAAACTGCCTTAAAAAAGGAGGAAACTCAGGACAAAGTATAAAGTTGTAAGGGCAGGAAGAATTGGTGTTTAACAATGTGATTTCAGTTCTATTATCCACCTGTCCCTCATATCAAGTTACCCTCAAATCACATTCCTTTTCATCAGAATACTAGTTAAATTGAATATCTTTCGACAGGTAATAAACATTGTCCTGTATAATGCTCAACCCTGTCTTCCTGTGGATACTTTATGAGCTTTTGCCTAATCCCAGGCACTAACAAGCATTTCTGACTACCATGCTAAGAGTACATATAAAGATGAACTGCATGCAAATACATGCCCTTTCTGAATGCTCCAAAGAGTTAAATGCTGATGTTTTTTGACAGTGCCTTAGGGTTTAAAACTCTAGAATATGAATTCTAAATTTGTAGCCTATAAATAACATAGATGTGTGATAACTGGTTCTCACTATTGATGTGTATACCTTTGAAGACAAACAAGCAAACTCCCCAGTTTTTCCTAGAAATATTTATGTTGACTGGTCATATTTTTAAATCAGATTTTTATTGGTACATTTTAGATATACATTATAATCACATTCATTATAGAGAATTTATACCTGTGAATGATATAACTGTTTACCCATTCTCTTACCCTCCCTTTAGTAGAATGGACTATATTTTATTATAAATATAGTCCTTATGCCTGTAGCTGGTCAAAGCATCCAGCTTCCCATGATTTCATATTAAGTTTTATTGGAACAAATTCACTTTTAGTTACTGTGCATGGCTATTTTTATACTACAAAGGTGAAATGCAGCAGTAGAGACCAAGTGGTTTGACAAGACTGAAATAGTTATTTTCTAGTCAATTTTAGAGATATTTTGTCAATTTCTGCTTTATATTATCTTCATTTTACAGAGAGAAAAGCACAAATCTTCTAAGAAGTGAAGTACAGTAATTGGCCAAAATTTGCACTTTGTGTAACTTGGGTGCACCTCAGTCAGACACTGATTCTTAAACTTGACGAGGGAAAGTCCAGTGTGCAGAACCAACATCCAAAAGATACAAAGTCTCAACTGCCCTTCAAGCTACCAATGTCTGCTGCTGACATTGTATCATTTTATCACATATATCATAAAGTAAAAATGAGGACTGCTTGCTTTCATGTACTGTAGTTTAAAAATTGAATTTGAAACTATTTAAAAGAGATAATAAAGATAACTGAATTTATATTCTTTATAATTTTAGGAACAACAATCGGGTCTATTAATTGAAACTTCAATCACATATAATTCACCACAATTAGATTTTTATGTTCACCTCCCCATAGCATGTTTTGTTCCGAGGTAAGTGTTGTAGACTACTGTGATTAAAGTAATCTATTATAGATTATTATTTTCAGCTGCTGCGAGTTTTGATCAACATATAAATTGCTGGGCAATGTGCTGAGGTTGAGCATTGGGGCCGATTTAATTTACAGAATTCTGCTTAACTGAGTAGATCTGAAAATAAATTCATTTTGTTCTGTTGGTGTCTTCTAAATGAGTAAATAAAGCTCAATAGGTACTTGGCTATTGAAATTTGGTCAATGAGGAGAACACACCAGAGGATATTTGTTTGTAAATTTTACTTTCCTGGGGTTTTCCTTACCCACCTCTGCTGACATCCCCATTGTTGACTATTATACAAACTCTTAAATTTTTAAGAGAACCATCCAGATATGGGGGTGAGACAAGAGATTTTAAAAAATCAGAATTTATCCAAAAATTTTAAGCTAGAACCAAGTGAGTTGGTTTGTGGTGACTCCAATGGGTGTAAAAATGAAGACTTGCTAATCACCCAATTTTTCTGTTATTTGGGAAACTCTTCTGTAGTGAAATGGAGAAGCAGAAGGGTCTCTTTACTGGCACTGGCCAAGCAGTGTGCCTGGGGTCAGTCTGAAGCGGGGCTGCTGGGGAGGACCTGCAGGATGTCTGTCCTCTCTGTGCTGGGAATTGCACTGTACCCTGTATTTGGTCACTCTGACTTCTGGGGTGACCCAGGGTTCCATGGTTGTGATTCCAGATTAAACCAATGGACCAACTATGTTATGCGAAATCTGCTTTTCTTATTCTTTAACAACACTGCCAGTCCTTTTGGTCCTTTTCGCAGTAAACACCATTGAGTCCTTGTGTCTGGTGTTTTTCAAATTCAGGGTTCCTTCCTTCAATGCTCCTAGTGCTAGAGGTGAAGGAGCTGGGGGATGGCAAGGTTCGTCTCCATCTATGATTCTCTTTACTGCTTGGTGGGAGAGTCACTAGAAGTCTAGTGCTTGTGTGGAAATTACTTAGACCACCACAGAGAATGGGGAAGGAGACCCCTCCTTTCGGCCCTATCTTCCCATTTCTTCACTCTTACCTGTGAGTCCGCTGTCTTTGGCAAGGAGAGTCTCCTGTGCAAGGTGCTTGCAGAGATTTAAGGGCTGGCTTAAATCACCCTTGATTGACTGCATGAAGGGGAGAAGATTTATAGGAGCCTTTACCCTTTTATCACAGGCCAGGAATTGAAAGCTGTGTTCATTACAGACATGTGGAAGATACCTCAAGGTAAACAGAACCCAAGAGCTTTTGATACTTGATGATTGTATGGACTGCCAGCTGTAGGATAATGGAAAGCTCTATTCAACATTCTATTCAAAATTTCCTCTGAATTCTGTAAATGAAATGGCCAGTTTTTGCCTAAACTAGTTGATTTGGCATCCAGGTTATTACCCATCTAATTTAGTTTATATTCCTATACTTCAACTCCTCTTCTACTTCCAAAAGTTTGATTTAGATGGAGCTCATCTATATTTTTCTTTTCTATGTAATGCTTTTCTTTCATTCAGAAACTCATTAATAAGCACTATAATGAAAAGAGGAAGAGTACCCAGCCGTGAATACATGATAGTGCAAAACACGTGGCCAGCGCTGGGTGCAAGTGAATACATGGAGATGAATCTAAGAATGTTGTCTTGGTGAGAGCATTTTTATTGGTCAACATAAATGTTTACACTTAGGCAAATAGGTAAGGGATTAGTGAAATGACAACACATTTCGCAAATCTACTGCATATATTTGATTTTAGGTCAGGATGATTGTAAACTTGCACTTTTATGGTTATTGATATGTTTCTTGAGCATTTATTTTCTTGTGTACTCAGTCAGTTGACAATCACAAGCCTGCTTGCTCTTTTATACTACCAATCTACATACCCCTGGAAATCTCTGGAGATTGTAACATAAATATGGAATGGGCTTGTGAATTTTCATGAGGATGGTTGATATGTTAGCTAACTTTTTAATCACCTTTTTGCTATGGAAGAACTAAATGGCCTTCTAGTGCCCTTCTAAAATGAGCTATAAGAACTATTTGAACAGACTATTAAGTCTTTAGTATGTCAGGAGGACACACCTTGACTTTTCTTTTAACCCTCAGAATTCAAAATGTGAGACATTGTGTATAAAACTGATATACATGCTATTGGTTAATAAATGCTCACTAAATGTTTTATAGCTCCTTTTATATGAATATATATACTATTATAAATTGTGAAACTCAAATCATTAAAATATTTAAATGCTGGGTGAGGTGGCACATGCCTATGATCTCAGCATTATATAAGGCTGATGCAGGAGGTTTGCAAGTTCAAGCCCAGCCTGGGGCAACTTAGTGATTTAGCAAGACCCTGTCTCAAAAAAAGTGGGGAGTTTACAATTGGTGTCCTCTCTTCTTCATGCCTTCTTGAGCCTCACTGTTTCTTTGAGGATAATAATGGTTTCCTGTCAGTATCATGTGATTTTCTTTTCTTTCCTTACAGGACGACTTGTCCCTTGTTGGGCTATGGAAATTTTACTGCTTCCAAATACATAGAGGGAGGGATTTGAAGTACAAATTCTGGACTATTGAGTGATCTTAGCAACCCTGGATGCTTGGAGATTTCACTGCTTTTTAGATGTTGGATAAATGCATATGGGGAATCATCTTTGACCATTTCAATGTGACCTTTTAAGATGAAAAAACTTGCTATTCTATCCATGTTTATGAGGTCTTTGGGTGGGAAAAGGTTTCTCTAGATTTTAAATTTGTGATAAAGCCAATTTTAAATAAACTTATGCATTTCTTTGTGGCTATTTGTACTTTTTAAAGATATCCTCTATAACAGAACACCATAATGCAGGATGTGATTGTATTTTGGTGGACTTCCTTATCCTAACTGGTTTGAATGGGGAAGTTAGTCTACTATAATCTGATTTTCCTATTGACTACTGTTTTACTTCCTTCAAATGGTATATGGAAAATAAAATTGAATCAAAATTTCCTTTTAAATATTTTGTTCTTGTTAACATGTATGTTTTTCCCTATTGATTTTTAAAATTATTTTAATAAAACAAAATGATAGAAGTGATACAAAGTTTCAAAAATTATAGGAGATTAACACTAATATATTGCATATTGTTAAATATCATATTGTCTCACTAGTGTAAAAGAATTAACATGTACTTAATTGTGCCTATAGAGGGACTCAGCATATGCACGTAGTACACTCAGGTCACATCCATCCTGCCTAGAATCCTCCCTTCCCCTCTGGCCCCTGGCTACTAACCCAGATTCTACTTCCAAGGTGGCTTTTCTTAGCTTCCATGTATGAGAGGACATAGGATCCTTGTCTTCTGTGTTTGGTTCTTTTCACTTAACACAGTGCTTTCTATTCTGAAGATGGTAGGATTCAGTGTTTCATGATATATAATACTGCATGACACATGCACACCATGTCTTCACACATTTGTGCTGCAGCAGTTGTGGTGTTGGGCATCTCTTTGGCAGACTGGCTTTTATTTCCTTTGGATGGATTGGCTTAGTTGGATCTTATGACCTATTTTTAGGGATTTCTATGTTATCTATAATGGCTTCACTAACGTACATTTATAACCACCGTACATGAGACTTCCACATTCTTGCAAGCACTTATTTTTTGTTTTTGTTTTTGTTTGTAAAGCAAGTATTTTTTGGTACCGGAAATTGAACTCAGGTCCTGACATTTGCCATAAAGGTGCTGTACTACTGAGCTACATCCCCCAGCTTATTTTTGTTTTTAATGTAGCCATTTGGACTAGAGTGAGATGATAACTCAGGTCTGAATGCTCTTCCTTGGTGGCTGATACTGGGCATTTTTATTTTATTCATTGATGTTTGGATCTCATTTTTTCAAGTATTCAGATCAGTTGTTTATTGGTTAATTGGGTTATGTTGGTTTCTCAGATTTTTTTGGTGTTCATATATTCTGGCTATTCTTTGTCGGATGGTCAGGTGGCAATATTCTCTTCATTGATATAGTTTCTTTTCTCAGTTGGTTGTTTCCTTTGTTGTGTCAGAAGATTTTCAGTTTGATGTGATCCCATTTGTCCATTTTTGCTTTTGTTTCCTATGCTTCTGGATCTCAGAAAAATTTATTGCCCACCCTAGTGTCCTGAAGCACTTTTCCTGCAGAATTTCTTTGTAACTGGTTCAGAAAACAGTATTCATTTCCCTTTTTTCTGTCTTTTCTGTATTATGTACCATGCTGTATCACTTTTCTATGGAGCTGGATGTTCACCAGTGGAGCAGAAAAGTTGAGTTGAGAATTTTGTATCATCTATTTTAGTCATCAGAGGGCTAGAATTTAGGAAATAAAATTCTAGTTGCTTTATGCATAATTTATGACACCAAATGCAAACTTTCTTGTTCAAAGAGCTCTTTAAAAGTGCAGCTAATCTTGACAATATCCATTAATGAGTATCCCATATGTTAATGATCTGTGTGATAAGCTATGTAGTTGCCAGAGATAATTTGTTAAACTCCTGCTGTGGATACCAGGCATCTATAATACTCGGCTTCTGTGAAAATATCGAGCCAGGTCAATTCATTTTTCTCATCAGTTATACTTTTATCTCTTAGACTTTTGTAGGTCTCAAATTCTCTCAAGAACTTTTATTCAGCAACCTATAGATGTACACACTCATGATAAATACTTTAGAGACAGCCAAAATAAAGCAGAAAGCTTGGACCATAATTTTGTGGGTTTGTTTTCTGGCCATTGCACTGGGTTCTCTGATTATAACTATCGGCTGTCAGACCTGGAAAAAATAATTTTCATAAACACTCAGGATTATTAATAAAATTATAGTATTAATCAAATTGTAAGTGATTCACTTATATTATGTACTTGAAGTTCCTCAAACCATTGCCTATAATATTCCAACAGACACATGACACACTGCATATGATAGAATTCAGAAATACAAGATACCCAAGTGATGACCAGGTGGAGGACTTGTAGTCTTGTAGTTAGAACACCTTTTTTTTTTTTTTTTTTGCATTTCCCCTGATTTTCTGAGTCATGTTTAGAGTGACTGCAGCTGTGAGTGGTGAGGCTGACAGTGTGCTGCAGGCTTTTTCAGGAAGGAAAATCACTCCCAGTTGCAGAGGAGAGAGCTCTATAAAGACTGGCAGAGGCTGCCCCTTGGTTTGTTTCCTGTGATACCTTGGTTTGCAGTTAGAAGCGATGCAAGTTTCTGGGGTGTTAGGAGGTCTTCTCCTATTTTTTGTGTCAATTCATGGTGATAATAATTGTAAGCAAAAGAGGGAATTATGGAGGGTAGCATTTCAAGCATTTTGTTACGGGGTGCTTTGTTCCAGATTTTTTTGACTTTGGGGGTTTTGTTTCTGTTGATCATCTGCTAATGTCTCATGACTGTCAGATGGTTTTATCCATGTATTCTGTATCTTCATCTCTTGAATCCATAATTAGAAGAATTCAAGATACTAGTTTGCATTGTTTGTTTCATTAGTTGCAAACATCTTGAAGTTTCCATTTTCCTTTCCTTGGACATACCTGACACCTGCAGGAGCCTGAGGTACTTGTAGTGAGTGGGTAAATCAGGAAGAGATGGCCAGGTATAGAGAAAAGAATGTTTAGGTCGTTGGTCTTTGATCAAGTAGTCTGAGGAACTGGATACAGTAGTAAGCTGTTTTCAATTGTAAATGACTTTTAAGAGCTTATTTCACATTGCATATCAATCTAATATTAACCAGCTCAATTGGTTTAATGCTTTTAAAAAATCAAAGCAGATGGTGCATTTTTTCAATATATCATAACTAGATAGCAGAACTCTTCCTTCCTCTAGCCCAGATCCATATCTTTTATGTTAAGGAAAATTTCAAAGACAGATTCATACGGCACTTTTCTATGTGAGACTGGCCTATAATGTCATTGTAACCAGTGCACAAGATACAAATGACTAAACTAGCCTATAAAACTTGATAGTGGACAAGTATATTGATATTGAGGCATTTCTTTGTGTCCATACCTAATCCTTATAACTGTTTTGTAGCTATAAAAAGCATATTCTGCTTTGTTGTAATATACCCATGATCTCTCCCTTTACTAACACAGGGTGAATCTCTTGGTAGACTAAAGAATTACAGCTAAGCACGATGCCTATTTTGCTTTTAAAGTATGTTGTGCCACAATAGCCCTACTAGTACTACACTACCTTGCAGGCTAAGAGTCAGAGTATGAATGTGAACTAGGATGTGAGCCTTATGGCTCCCTTGACAGATGTCAGAAGATAGCACAAATCACAGTCATCAGATCAGGGAGACATTGGCAAGCTGTAGAACTGTGAATGTTTACAAAATGATGGCATGCTGCATGAAAATGTAAAGGGGACAGTGCATTTGTTATTAGTAAGCCAGTTACTATAGATGCAAAAGCTCTAGAAAGTATGTCATTGCTCATGAATGAGGGGACGGTTCACCAGCTTCTCTCTGGGTGGTATGTACCTATTGGAGAACAAATTTAACATGTGAAAAAAATTTGTTGTTACATAAGAGTCATTTTTTTTCTTATTGGTAATATCAAGGAGTTATTGAATTTTCCTTAGCCCCAAATATCAATGTAAAACCATTAGAAGTTCTTTCAATTTACTGCTCAGTATGGAAAGATGTAGCTCCTATGACTTCTTCCACAACCAGAGGAATAGACTGAGCCATGTGAAGACTAAGAGGTATCCGGGAGCACACAGTCCCATGTGCAGAGTCAGGACCATGCAGCGTTCAAGTTATCTAAGGTGATGACACTGATTGTTCTGAGCTGCTCACTGCAAAGTCATGAAATCTGACATTTTCTCTTCTTTCTCTTCTATCAGTGGAGGTAGCCTGTACTGATTTCTTCCTCCAGGTCAGAATTAAGAGAATGATATATGTGAACTGGTTGATACCTTCAGCTTATGAGTTCTACCTGGGAAATGGCTGTCCTGTTAACAGAGTGCTGCTTATTCTCCCCTCCCCCCAAAAGTAATAAGAACTAAGGAGTAATAAAATCCAAAATGTGTAAATTTTGTTGTAAAAAGAGAGGAAGGGAAAAAAAAGAGCTCTAACGGATATAACAGCAAGTGTGTATAGGGGTGTTGAATAGCTGACTATATTAATGTTTTTGGATCATTGAACACAGCTGTTTGCAGTCTCTCTATTTGAATGTCTACTTTGTATTCTTTGATACTGTGATTTGAGCAACTATTTCCAAGATGATAACATGTAATCTATTAACAGGTGATTTCTTACTGTTATGTTTTTTTTGTAGTTCTGTATTATATGTAACCTTACACTGCTTTGTTTTGTTTTGTGTTTTTCTCTTTTTCCTCTTAAATAAAAAAAAACAGAGTGCTGCTGGACTTTTTTGAGTTCACTTACACAGTCACCCTCTGTGGCATCAAGAAATATGCAAGAGCTGTTCTTTAGGTAGATCTCTTTGCATTTATGCTTCAGGGTCAGTGTCTACTTATTAATATCAAGCAGCTATGTTTCTAACTGATTTCATATAGTATTGACTACTCTTTATCTCATGTTTTTAGGTTCTTTTCAAATAGAGGAAATATCAGAACAAATGTGGGATTTAAAAAACCCTGTGTTACTTTTACTTTATCCAGTACATCTCCCCTACTGTTGGAGAGATTATATATTCTTTGGGGGTAAAATCAAACCTGAAGGAAATATTTTGTTTAATATATAAGACAACATCACAATCCCTTACTCACTTGTTGTGGATGTAAATATTCAATGACAACAGAAAATGTATGTTATTAACTG